ATACCTTGTGAAACGGACCTATTTCCTGTTTACCAAAGTACGACTTAAAATTATTTAAGATCATTTTGCTGATAACAGGAGTCTTTGGTAGAAAAGACCCACTGTCAATAGAAACTCTTGTGTGAGAAACTGAAGTCATTATGAAATTATAATGGAAGAATGTTATTATAGAATAGAATTTAACGGTCTTCAAAAAGCTTATAATAGACGCGTAACGAAAAACGTTATAAAAGTCCGGAGTTTAGCGATAGTAGTTACACAATTTATTTATGTCAGACAAATGGGAGGTTTACCTAATAGCTAAACCTCCCAAATATGTAAACGTCACGCGTGCGATCATATAAGTAATCACGTGTAAAATTATACATTCATTGGTCAAAAAGATTGCTTATATCTGTTTTGATAATAATATAAGAAATTTTTTCATTTTCAAAATTAAAAAATTTTTTACGTGCAAAATTCACAAAAAAAAAAAAAAAAAAGAATATAATCCAAATATTAACAAAAGTTATTCCTTATATCTCATTCTAATAAAATCAAATAAATGGGAAAAATACACAACAATCAACAAATCAACAAATTCAACTATATCCCGTTGAATATCATCTCGCGTGTGAGAAAACGCTTTTGCATCTCGTATCGACTAAGGTATAACATTTAAATATTTTATTTTTTTTTATTCGTATTTTGTAGCTTAATTTTAATACTTGTGTTTATTTTCATTATGTTGAGAATTTAGTTGGATACAATTGTTCTGTAGAAACGAGAGAATAAATCCTGAATATTAGGTTGAGTTAAACTATGATCTTGACCTGATAAAATTCAAGATCAATTATTTAATATGCGAACGAATCAAAGCCAAAAAGGAAGTATAAAATGATAAAAATAAACTTTTTATCAATATACTTTTTTTTAATCGAATAATCAAAATAACAAAAAAGGTTCACAAGTTAGTACTGAAGATTTTATATAAATATCTTGTACTTTCTCTAGTTGAAGGATAATTCGACATAGAATTTTATCTCTATACCAAGTGTTTATTATCAAAATAAAAGAAAAAATCTTTAAATTCATAAACTTTTATTTTCCTATTCATTTTATAAATGATTCACGTGTTTGAACGTATCTCTCAAATCCTATTTCAAATTCACCTTTCTTAGCAGATGACCTAAAGTATGAAAATTTTAATGTTAATTTCATTAAAGTGGTAATGGAAACATTGTATTTTGTATACGAATTGTTTCACTAACCAATATTATAACATCATCTTAAAATCATACTACATAATTTTTATGACCTGATGCGTCTATCGACGCTTAACTGTTTCAAAATACACGCTCACATTCTACTGATTTCCCTGTAAAATAAATGTCAATTGGAAATAATAATAAAATAATACGATAAATATATTGAATATAAGTAAAATAAATGCATTTGCATGTAATTATCAATAGTCCATATAATAAATACCATGCCTCCCGTCTTTGTTCTTTAACTTCATTTTCGTATTTATCTTATCAAACCGATGGTGTGAGTTCCGGGATTGCTCTCGGTAGTTTAATATAACAGTTGTGATGGTGATTGTTCGAGGAAGAAAAAAAAGAATCATCGTTCCTGCTAAAATCCTTTTTCATAAAAAATGTAAATTAGTATATACCGAATAAATTGATGACCGTTTCTCTGAATGATACTCACAGGATATTACCGCATATAGTGTATCTAATTACAAATTGAAATATATAATCGTAAATACTCCTTTTTTCGAATTCTCTTTAGAAGTTTCGCTTTATATTCTCTTCTAGCATAAATAATGATCAAGTGTATTCGTAAAGATAAAGAGCACGATGAAATGTCGATTAGTACATGACACAGCATGTTGATCCGTACATCAACTTGGAAAATTTTCATCAAGCTTTGAATTGCTAAAGTTACATTTAATACTTACGTCATCAATTTTTTTTGAAGAGCCCGCGGAAAGTTAGAACTTTTGACGCCATTACAACACAATACTGCTCGACAACAACGTTGGTCGCATTCTCGACTATATTGAAAGAATCCTCAGCGACACAGATTTTAATGCTCAATTAGTAGAACAGCCTCTGAATTCCAGCTGGTAAAGGGTAAAGTTTTTTGGAGTATTAAAAAAGATCTTCATATTCTGATTTTGGTAAATGAGTTTTACCCCACCTTTTCTATTTCTATTTACAGTTAGTTTAGTTAGTTCAACTTTCTCGATTCAAAATAAATAAATTTAAAATGTTTACCATGCAAACTTACATTGCAAAACTTTCCGATAGGTTTCATCTATGTAATGACTGAACCAAAGTCGCTAAATCTTAGTTGTTGGATTTATTCTTTATTCAAAAGAAATTACATAAGCATTTTTATCTCAGCACGAGATAGATAAAAATAGGTATTTACGCTGTATATTAATAAAATTGTGTTTTTACAAACTCTGAATAAAAACAATTTATAATGTAGGGTGAAACCGTTATTAAACTTGGAACTGAACATCTTAGATATATTATTCCTTGCGTGGACAATTTTCACATTATTGGATGCTTCACTTTAGCTGAGCAATGGAAGCTACTGCTATATATGATAATGATGACAGAGTTTATCATTAATACACCGACTTTGTTAGCTCAAAATATTGGTTCACAAACGTAAATGTTTCAAAATGTTCAATTTTTAAAAATGAATAGGTTATTTATTTATAATTAATTTTACTCCTATTTAAATATTCTTGGACTAGTCGGTTATTTATGAAAATGGGTTGTTGTGGCTAAGAATGATGAAAGAATACGATTCTTGTCAGAGGTCCTGTCAAAATTCGCGAGAAAACGTAAATTCATGTTTATAAGCATTTATTTTGGTGTTCTACATTTCCGATTGATCTTATTATTTATCTATAGTATGAAACCTTCAGAAGGCGAGAAATGGAGTAATAATGGTATGTGTATTTCTACCATGCGAATTTAGGGCAAATTGTGATTCAAAAATATAAGTTAACGTTACGTCGCGTTATAACTTACAGGAGTTTCTCAACTAAAACATCAACATTACGCGATACATAATCTTTTAACATATCTTTATGACGTCGATGGCAAAAATCGTCGTAGGTCGTAATTTATGATTATCATATCTATATATGTTATTTTAAACGATTTTTGAAAATCGCGGATTAACTTTTTTTTGCATCTATATATTGGGAACATTGTAGTGGATAAGCATCAATAGGTTTAAAGGCTTATTGGATTTTTTTTCCCATGAAGGGTATTTTACAAAACAATTATATGGAAACGTTTTCAGTAAAATAAAGTCATGAGATATAGTAAATCATATGATCCATAATGTGATTTTACTGGAAACGCACCCTTACTCAAATTTATGCAAACCTTGCGACTGCTGTGACTGTACAACCATTAATTCAAGAGATCATTAAAGAGTTGCTCCCTATAGCATGCATCTTGTTGATGCTTTAGGAGTTGATTCACGTATGCCTTATGCATCGATTACGAACGATTTAGCACAGTACAACAAAACCGATAATCTAAGGTAACATCTAGTATGAATATTTGTATTTTATTATATTTCTTCAAGATCTTAAATTGTTTTTTTAACTACTTAGGTGAAATAAGTAAAAGATATCTCGGTCAGAATGAAGGTCGAATTATGATTATCAATTATTAGTCTGGAGCGTAGCGAAGAACTTTTATTGTCTACGCGCTATGATGAAAATGTCCCGCTGTCCGCCCGCTCAAAATTAGAGTCGATACACTTTCGTTACACTTGTGCTCCGGAATTAATAAAGGTTTTAATTGAAGTTTTGTTACATATAGTTATATATGATAAATTTTTATTTTAAAAATTATTATAACCAGTTTATCTTCCAATATATGACACTAGCAAAGTAGCTTATTATTTATAACTCTCCTCTTTGTAATGGAAAATATTTGATGAAATCCGTTTACCGAACCTAAATTCAACATCATCTAGAATAACATTATTTTTTTTTCTGTTTAGCGTTTCACGTGTAGCTTGATAAAATGTAACTTTCCCAATTTGCCATGAAATTGGAAATGCAAGCCTGAATAATGACACCATCTAAGCAAGAAAGATCTATTACACTACTGATAGCAAGATACATTCTTTGATAAAAGTTGCCAATCCAAAAATGTTGATC